CACTGTGTTGTGACAACAAGGACTTCTTTAAGAATGTTTTCTAAAGCATGACCATCATCTTACTCAGCGTGCTTGTTCCATTTAGTTTTTCCACTTGTTTTCCTAACTACTGGAGGCGCATGACATTTGAGGAGGCTGGAGATGGGTTTGGGAATCCAGTTCTGTAGACGTTGAGTTCTGGCTGTCTTCTGAATTTTTGAAAACCATGGAAGGACCGTGTCCCTCTGTGGGCTTCACTTGGCTCCAGCTCTGAAAGAGCTGATCATTCTGAGACTCGCTTCCACATCAAGCCCGGTTTTCAGGGACATCTAAGTGCGTTGGGTTCTCTGGATTAGCAATATAGTACTTTTAACCATGGGGGATCACGAAGTAGAAGCAAATAGGAGCCCAGACCCCATTTTTCTAATTCTTCTCCTTGAAATATAGGAAGCTCTCAAAAATATTCATCTGTTACAGAAAGGAATGCATCTGCTTCAGGATCCCTGACATCTTTTGCCGAAAATGTCAGTGTGCTTACCAAGTGCATTTGACTTTTTATTACTCTCTTTTTAATCTCAGCGTTTGGATCCTCTGCTGTACCCACAACTAGTTCCTTGAAAATATATCAGATTTTTGTCTCACACTACGAAATACCATCCATTTGAGAACTCCCCCATTTTCTGGAACTATCCGTCGACGGTTGTCCCATGACCAAGATCCAAAGGAATGGTCCTCGTATGGTATTGGTGTATTCAGTATTCATATGAAATAATAAACACTCTAGCAGTAACACATCAGCACCTTTAGTTTGGGGGCAATTTGCTTAGAATTTATGTGTGTCTCATAAGTTCATAAAAAATGACATTGGTAGTCTGCCACTTGCCACATCGGACTACCCCAACTTTCCAGGAGCTACAGAAAAAAACACCCCCGCACACTAACACACACCCATCTAAAGTTCAGGTCTTTTTATAGTAACATAGAGGCAGGCATATTAAATTATGATGCCACGTTCCTGCCAGGTTTTGACTTTTTTTTGTTTTGTTTTTTTTGAGTTCTCTGCTATAAAGCAACCACAGCAGTTTCGCCCATCCTGCGCCTGGCCGAAGGTTCTGAGAGCATAACCTATATATGTTAACTCAGGCATCAGCCAGCACCTTGGCAGGTAGGCAGGTAGGTAGGTGAGGTGGCCACGGATGAGGAGGGAAGCCAGGCGGCAGGCAGGGAAGTAGGGACAGCGTCAGTCAAGGCCAGAAGTCCCTTGCTGAGCTGGAGTTGAGGGATTCATGTGTTCCTGGTTACCAGCTTGCGTTCAGAGCTCCGTTCTGGTTTTAATCCTACTGGGCGAGATTCTCTCCTGCTTTGAAGTCCCAGAACTGCTGGGGCGGGAGAATCCTATGCAGTAGGCTTTGTCATTCATATCGAACCAAAGGGATGATGAAGCCCGCGTCTCGTATTATAGCTAAGTTTAATGGATGAACAAAGAGATTCTGCTGCTCTTTGGCGTCTACTGCTTGCTTGCCTCTGAAGAGCAGCGGTTAATTCTAGTGATTATCCTATTGAAGTAGGTCTGAAAATCACCCTCCGGCTTCTTTTTATTCCCCGCATTGTTAAAATGGGCTACATGGGTGCACGCCCATGTGTGTGTGTGTGTGAGAGAGAGAGAGAGAGAGAGAGAGAGAGAAAGAGATTGATTTTGTTTCCTTTTCCTGATCTGTACCTTAATTCTAGGTGTTCAGCATTCTTGGGTTAGTTATAATCACTTTGGGGCATGCTTTTTTTTTTTTTTTTAATTGCTCTATCTTTCCAGAATGTGGATTATCTTTCACTCTTCTTGAGATGTTTATCCTAAAGCTCCCTCACTTTGTGGGCCCTTTCTCCTCTAGTGAACAAAAGCAACCTTTGATATTCTGAATCACATCACCTTTCTCATTTTTTATGCAATGTTCCCTTTGAGGAGAATTTTAAGCTATGAAGAAAAGATGTGTGTCTCCCTTATCTTTAGCTTTGTACGTTCCCCCCCCCCCCAAATCGATCTCAATTAACTTTGATTTCTCTCTTTAGAAAACCATGTGCTGAAATAATGCTTTGCCAGATGTGGGAATGGGTTCCTCACCCTCCAAACACATACTGGAGCCTTGTCTTAGTTCTCCGATTTCGGTCCACTTTTTAAACCTCATTCTCCATTTGCTTGGTCCCTGGAAGGGTTTGCACGAATACCCTGCTTTACCTTGGGAGGTCTACTAATATTCTGACGTTGTGACTCTTCCTGCTGTGAAAATCTTTTTCTTTTTCACTTGTAATTTAAAACTGAGCCTGTCCCTCACACCTCCCCTGTTTCTTCCGAGTTCTGAGATCAATTGCACATTTATTCATGTTTCTCTTCACGGGCGAGCCGACGCTAACATGACGTAGTGTATTATCCCCCCGGAGCGGGGCTGGGAGTCTGAGGGACCAGGCGGCAGTGGGGGGCGGCTGTCAGCCTTGTCTCCCATTCTGAGCGTGCGAAACCTCTCTGTGCAGCGCTGCTATGGGAAGGGAGACTCTGTTCTGCAAGCATTACATAAGAAGCTTTGGTTTATGTCTTTATTAAAGAGCACTCCTGCACTAAGTCCGTGCCGTGATGCCGATTTCACGTTTACACCCACGTCTGGAAGTTTAGATGCCTCAGATTCCTTCCCTCCCCTTGTGACCAGGAGAGAGAGCCATGTCTTCCTGTTGTCCTGACGCCTCCCGTGCCCATTGCTACACACTGAGCTTCGGTGTTCCTGCCTCGTATTGTTGCTCTCTGTGGTTGCTGTTTGATTTTGCCCTGTATTCAAAGATGCCTTAGTTAGGATTTTATTTTTCCCTTCCTCGCGTCTGATTCTGGCTGTCTGACTGGCACAACCTGTCCTTTTGTATGTTTTGTGTTACCATTTCAACTGCCAGCTTACTCTTGTCCCAAGTGTCACACGCTGTGATTCAAGGGATTTTTAAGAAGTTGGGGGTGGCGGGGTGTTACCTGGCCACCACTCTGGGGGCCAGAGCCCTGTTTGTGCCTTGTGGTTCTTCCTACTCACTGATTCTTAGCGCAAGGCCTCTGGTAATGAAGTTCACGTACTTGTGAAGTTAGTCCTTGGGTAGGCGGGGGACCGAGTGGCAGAGTACACACCGGGTTTGGAGGGGTCCTTTGTGAAATTGCATGTGTTCCCTAAGGATCCTGCTACTCCTGGGTAAGGAGGGAGGTCTGTATCTTAGAAATGCTGCTTCGTAAGGCTCTGTGACTAAAGGGGAGCGTCCTTATTTATTTAAATATCAACTTGAAGAAGGAGAAGGGAGTGCTAATGTAACAATATCCCAAACTAAGAAATGTAAGAAAGGCATCTTCATAGTCTGAGGGAGTGAGTGGTAAAACACCAGTCCAACGTGTCCCTAATTCCATAGCTCACTTTAAGGTGAGTTCTGGACCTTTCTGGAGCTCATATTTTCTCATTTGGGGATAAGAAGTTTGGACTGAAGTTCTCCACAGTCCCCCCCCCGCCCAGCATCAAAATTTTCATTTTTTTTAAAAGTATGACCTGAGCAGCATTTGCTTCTCACCAGTTAGTAGCCATACTGAGGATGCCAAAGGGATAAAATAAAAATGAGCTATCACGCGGGGTTTTTTTTTTTTTTCTGTGCTAGAAACCAAAATTGGATCGTCTTATAGTTCTTCTGCTACACTAGTATATCATTCAAGTGGTTGAAATTTACAAATCTGGGCGCCTGGGTGGCTCAGATGGTTAAGCGACTGCCTTCGGCTCAGGTCATGATCCCAGGGTCCTGGGATCGAGTCCCACCTCGGGCTCCCGGCTCAGCGGGGAGCCTGCTTCTCCCTCTGACCCTCTCCCCTCTCATGCTGTTTCTCTCTCGCTCGCTCTCTAAAAAATAAATAAAATCTAAAAAAAAAAAAAAGAAATTTACAAATCTGATTTGCCTTTGCTGATTTGGCTATAGAATATATAAGTGTAGCCATAGGCTAACCACTTGTGGGACTTAAAGCCCCAGAAGAACTGATGATACAACAATGAGGAATCTTGTTGTCTTTTCACCAAATCATGCAAAGGACCAAAGATATGAACAGAAAATAAAGGAGAAAAAGAGCTAGTTAATGATCCAGATATTTTAAACATCCTGATATTTGGAGGCATCTGGGTAATTCACAGCTTTTTTTTTTTTCCCCCCTGGTTCATTTATCATCCAGATGTTCGCCATCATGGAAGTACCGCTTGAAACTCTATTTCAGCTAATAACTTCGAAGTGGAAAAATTCATATCTTTGTACGTTTGTCCTCCGGGGCTCCACGTCCCCTTACTCTTCTTCTTCTAACTGCGTCTTCTTTTATTTTTTTTTTAATTTTTTTTTAAAGATTTTATTTATTTATTCATTAGAGACAGAGAGAGAGCGAGAGAGGCAGAGGGAGAAGCAGGCTCCCAAGGAGCAGGGAGCCCGATGCGGGACTCGATCCCAGGACCCTGGGATCATGACCTGAGCCGAAGGCAGACGCTTAACCATCTGAGCCACCCAGGCGCCCCTGCGTCTTCTTTTAAATCTCCTGGGAATGTGGCTGTTTTGCCAGACTCTTAGGTGTGACCCATCCCATTTCTTTTTTTAATCTCCATGACCATTCTGTACCCTGTCTGCTTGAATTATAGATTGCATTTGTCAAATAATGACACATGCAATTGGATGTCTTCTAAGACCTTTGAAATTCAACTTCCTTGAGTTGAGATTAAAGTGGGTATTATCCGCACTGCTGCAGTCAAGCTGGAGATGCTCGGAGACCCGCAGGAAAGTTTTTCCGGGCCGGCTGGTTCCAACTGTTAGAGTCTGGAGGGAAGAAAACCAGCTACTTTTTTCTCCTCAGACATAGAACTGGATATACCATGAAAGCTCCCTAAACTGTGGCCCCCAGTTAGAAATGACTCTAAAGTCAGCAGCTCTTTGAAGCATGACTGTCCTTCGGCGTGTCCTGAATGTGTGTTTCTTTGGGCATTCAGGAAGCGTTATCGGTTGTGAGCGAGGACCAGTCATTGTTTGAGTGTGCCTACGGGACGCCACACCTGACCAAGACAGACATGACCGCGTCCTCCTCCGGCGACTATGGACAGACATCCAAGATGAGCCCCCGCGTCCCTCAGCAAGACTGGCTGTCTCAACCCCCAGCCAGGGTCACCATCAAGATGGAATGTAACCCTAACCAGGTGAACGGCTCAAGGTAAGGCGACCCCTGACTCCTATTCTCTGGGACTTCTGGTTTTCCTATCCCTTGATCAGGCCAAATGGAAATGAGTCACACTCCTCCAAAGATTGTTTCAGAAAGCAAGGCCATGGAATGGTAACACGGGGCAAAGCTGAGAAAATGTGTTCTCCAGTGGTTTATGTTGAGGATAGAGGTTGTAAAACCTCGGTATATTTACCAAGAACTCTCTTTGAAGATGTGGTGTTCGATTCTATTTCCCAGGCACACGGGCTCTGTGGGAGGGGGGCCGTGCCCACATATGGCAGAATTCATCTCTGAGGTTTTTATTGCCTGGAAAATAATGCTGTCTTATGTTTTTATGGAGGGAGAGTGTCAACTAGTGGCCAGGCAATGCAGCGTTATGTCCAAGCCGAATGACTTGGCTAACGGGTCTACTTCATATGGCCTCCATCCCCCCCACTCCTCCCTCCTCTGTCCCCTTCTCTAATGCACCACGCTGTTTCTTCTCGTCTTTACTTACGCTTACAACCCTGCTCTGATGGCATGCCTAAGTATTTTTTTTTTTTTTAAGATTTTATTTATTTATTTGACAGAGACAGAGACAGCGAGAGCAGGAACACAAGCAGGGGGAGTGGGAGAGGGAGAAGCAGGCTTCCTGCTGAGCCGGGAGCCTGATGTGGGACTCGATCCCAGGACCCTGGGATCATGACCTGAGCCGAAGGCAGTTGCTTAACCACTGAGCCACCCAGGCGCCCCGGCATGCCTAAGTATTAACTTTCCTGAGTTTGTCACGATATGCCGGTCACAACAGAATGTGTTATCAAATGCAGAATAGTCCCTGACACTCAAAAGCATTTCATCAGCTGTGGGTTTGAAAAGTAAAGTTGATTTTAATTATGATATAATATCCCAGATATATCCAGAAAGAATGTAAAATCTCAGGACAAAGAAAGGATAATTTCTTTCTTTTTTTTTTAAAAAAAATGTATTTATTCATTATAGAGAGAGAGAGAGAAAGCATGAGCAGGGGGAGGGGTAGAGGGAAAGGGAGAGAGAGAATCCCAAGGTGGGGCTTGATCCCAAGACCCTGAGATCATGACCTGAGCCGAAATCAAGAGTCGGACGCGTGAACAACTGAGCCACCCAGGCGCCCCAGGATAATGTCTTTTAAATGTTGCACAGTCTGACGTGGGATCATAAGAAGAGGATACACACTTGCCAGTGCTGTACAAAGCCCTTTTACATCTAGTGAGCTATCAGTCCTCCAAGGAGCCCTGTGAGGAGTGCTCGTCCCCATTCGATGGAAGAGGAAACTGAGGCTCGAGCATTTTCTGGCTAAGTCAAGATCACAGCTTAAAGCAACTGGATTCAAACCAGGGGTGTTTGACTCCACACCCAGTGCATTTTCCACTCTGTTGCAACTATAATAGGCCCCTTTTGCTACATATATATCTAATGCTAAATGCGCTTTTTATAATTGTCATGTTTTATAAGCGCTGGAAACCATTGTGTCAACTTGTAGTTGATGAAGCTGCCAAGTCACAGTCCCTTAGTGGGAATGTTGAGGTGCGGCTGACATGCCAAACAGGGAGACCACAGATGTTAGAGCTTTCCCCGGCTCCGAGAAGTCCACGACCTCGGTGCATCTGGCTGCTTCTGGAAAATGGGAACGGTAACTCTGGTGTTGAATCTTGCTATGATGCCGGTCCTTTAAATGGAATTCAAGCCAAGGCAGGCCCAGCAAGGCGGTAATTCCTAGAGTCCCGAGAGCACGGAAGGACCTTTGTAGAAAATGCTGTCAAAGGGTCCAGGATAGCCACGTCCCGGCCAGTTGATGGTTACATGTCCATATTTCACAGGTAAACCTATCCATCCGATAGAATGTTTCCACGCTTGTTAACTGGTCGTCATGCTGTGAGCACTGAGAGTACTTAGCACTTCTTCTAAGGCTAGCTGCCCAGAATACATCAGCGTGTGTGTGTGTGTGTGTGTGTGTGTGTGTGTGTGTGTGTGTAAGAGAGACCTTGCCTGTGGGAGAGAGTGGGAAAGAAGACTTCGGACAAAGGGCACTGAGGTGATTTCCAGCCAGCCATGAGCAGAGTGAGCCATGCCGTATCCCTTGTTTCTGGAGCCTGGCCTATGACCAGCTCCAGAAATTGCCAGCCTGGATTTAGCAGCCTCAGGAGGAGACAGAGCGAGGAGGTGAGGATGGTGTCGCAGAAACAAAACCTTCTTTTGTTCCCGTGGTGCTCTCCCCGCATGTAAATAGGAGAAGCCTGCTGTCTTGCAGGAGAAGTGGACACCATTTCTTTTCCCATCAGTAGCCAGCATCCACTTGCCACCTGGCTGGGGCCGTGGGCCAGCCTTTCCAGCCTGAGGAGGTCCCCACAGGGATTCGGGACAGGAACGCCGAGCCTGGCCAAGGGGCTGGGTCCCCAAGAAGGACAGAGCTCCCAGGAAGGTTTTCCCACATTCCTCAGCCCGGCTGACGGGAACAGGCCCTTTGGCCGTTCCTCTTTGGTGCAAAAGTGGGTCACTTTTCTGGGAAATGCAATCGTTTTTGGAGGAACTGATCAGTTTTCTTGTGAGGGAACAATGGTAACCTTACTACCTTCCTTTCTTAGGCCCTCACAAAATTCTAGGATTGCTCCGAATGTTCCCATCACAGGAGTTTCAAAGGCAGTTCCAGCTTTTGAAGCAAACTGGGACGTGTTTTGGTGGTGGCCACTGAGGGAAGTCAGTCTCCTGATCCTTGTCTTCCTCTCGGATCCACGGTGGTATGTTTGGCAGGTGCTGTCCGTGAAGAGAGCACGGCTGACTCCATCTACCTTTGATCAAGGGCCATATGCCTCCTTGATGGAAAATGGCAGGCTTGGTGTGAAATGGGGGGGAGGGGCTTCAGGAACCTCCGAGGCTTTGTGGAGTTGAGCTCTGATGCAGATGTCCGCTGGTAACCGAGTGTCATCGTTACCCACCCCCAAGAGACAGGAGGGTGACATGCATTGATCCTCTCTGTAGTAGAGACAGATACAGGGCTCCTGCTCACCCTTGCCAGAGCTCAGCTGTCTGCCGGAGTTGAGTGGGGCCGGCCTGGTGTGTCCACTGAGTTCTCCAGAGAAACAACCGATAGGCTAGACATTTACTTTAAGGAATTGGCTCTGGCAGTTGTGTGGGCTGTCAAGTCTGAGGTCTGCAGGGCAAGCTGGCAGGCTGAAAACTCAGGCAGCAGTTGGTCCTGCAGTCTTTCTCTTCCTTAGGGAAGGCTCAGTGTTTGCTCTTTGGATCGTCACCGGATTAGATGAGGCCCACCCACAGTATTAAGGATGATTGCCTTTATTTAATGTCAATGGATGATAGATGTTAACAGCATCTGTGCAAAATCCTCACAGCAACACCTTGATTAGTGCTGGGTTGAGTCGCTGGGTGTGATGCCTTGGCCAGATGGACACAGCAAACTTGGCCGTACCTGGTGCTCCCAGGGCCTGTGCTGCTCAGTGGTTGGTGGAGCCGTTGCTTTCGGACCTCCAAACCGAGGCTCCCCTGGGGTGGTCAGTTCCTTGTCACTAAGGGGCTCAGCCTGGCTAGATGGGAAGTGGTAGAGGGGATGGTACGTCAGATCCGTAGTTCCCTGGGACCCAGCAGAGTACTGAGAGGTGGGTGGCCAGGCAGGGTCTGCTCTGCAGAGCACGGCAGGCTGCCTGAAGGGGTGTGGAGGAAGGGGATACTCAAAATCCATTGGCGTAGCTAAGGCTTATTTCATCTAGAGGTCCGACCAGCAGATAGAAGATGGCTGAAGGGGGCGCCTGGGTGGCTCAGTTGTTAAGCGTCTGCCTTCGGCTCAGGTCATGATCCCAGGGTCCTGGGATCGAGTCCCACATCGGGCTCCCGGCTCAGCGGGGAGCCTGCTTCTCCCTCTGACCTTCTCCCCTCTCATGCTGTTTCTCTCTCGCTCACTCTCTAAAAAATAAATAAAATCTTAAAAAAAAAAAAAAAAAAAGAAGATGGCTGAGGATCGGACCTGCCGGGTTTGCTGACTCACTGCGTGTTACTTACACACGTCAGTTCCAGCTCAATACAAGAGGACCTGACCTTGTATTCACTCTGCTTTCGTTCTGGAGACCTTGAATGGGCACCTGGCTGTACCAGCCCTACCTGAGATGTCAGGGGCAGGGGCAGAGTCGTGGAGAAAGGGGTCCTGCCCTGCAGGTTTCGTGGCAGAGACACTGTAGAGAAAGGCGTGAGCACCAGGGACAGGGGTGTAGCTCCTGAACACTCCATCTCCCAGCAGCTCTCCAGAGGCAGCCACCACCTGCCCACCAGCTCCCCCGAGCCAGAAGCCTCAGGCCAGGTGTGCCAGGGACTTAGAGACAGAAGCAAGAAAAGAAGTGTACCTCCTGGCCCCCAGCTCAGCAGCCTCTTCTAATTGTCATAGCTGTGAGCTTTCATGTGGTGGACTTTTATGCAGCACACGCACCTCTTGAAGTCAAGTTCAAGGAGAATTTACCTAAGTCAAAAACTGGACTTTGGCTGCAACATGCGGGCTGTTCCCTTTGCGGTCCCTCATTGCTCTTCAGCAGAGACCCCCAAGGACAGGAGCACTCTGTAGCTTGGGTCTTGCCTGAATCTGACCCAGCTCCTTCTGCATAGAATACCATCTTACCCCTATCTGTCCGTTACCCGTAGGAGGAAAAGACTAAGTGCTTTGGGAGGAGGGAGGAACTCCGTTCCTCACCAAACCATGGAATTCTACAAAACCTCAGCCCTTATGTGCTCACAAGCTCCTGAAATGAAATACAAGTGGTGAAATGAGATCTGTTGCCATTATAATAGCCCTCTATAAAAAATAATAAAAGGAAAACAGGAGAGAAAGGAACCACTGTTTTGTGAGCCAACGGGGAAGTAATTGTGGGTTTGGCTTGGCTGCTACCATATTAGAGGGTACGGTGCATGCAGACAGTAATCTCACTGCACGCTGTGTAGACGCAGGACATCATTTCTCAGCCTCAGTAGTCCAC